CAACCAAACTAAATAAAATTAGTGTTTTTAAAGGTGATACTAACCAATTTATGTTTTCTTAACATATAGTTGTAGCCAATTACCTAAATAACTCAAGTGATCATCTCCTTCCACTAAAAACAAGAGATCTTGAATTCAACTCACATAACATGCAGGTGAGGTAGGATAAAGAGTAGAAAATAGTTGTTTCACATTATGCAATTAAGATTAAAAAAAAAAAAAAACACATACACACACATATAGTTGTGTGGCAATAATGGATGTCCGTAAACTACCTAAAACATACACATATGAATAGATTTTGTACTCCCAGTGCCAATCTATAACAGCCCCCATTAAGAGCAGACATTAAAGCGGACGAGTATTAAATTGATAATTCATAAACAACCAACAAAAAAAGGTGAATGCTCAGAATTAGGGAAGGAACATTTATCGGTATTAAAACTGATTGGTGAGTGCAGCTGAGAGGAGTAGTGGCGATTCGAGTAATGGCATTTGGCATGCAATATATGACCCATGAGACACGCTGTGTTTTCGTCATCATTCTGATTTTGGTACTGAATCAAAAGCGATGGTAAAAAACCGTGTATAACGAGAGTTCTGGTTATGAGTTATGACTCGACTTTTTTCCAACCTCAGTCATCACCTTCATACTCGCGGGGCAGTTGGGGAATGGTAATAGCACACTGTTTGTAACTTCTTCATTTCTTTGTAGTTAAGAAAATTTATATTCTGACACACGGTAAAATTGGTTTTTGAACTTTCAAAAGTTTTTAGGATTCATTTTTTTTTTTTTTGGGCGTTTATTCTCACTATAAAAGAATATTAACATCATCAAAATTTCAATTTTTTAAATAACGTTTGAAAATATTATTTTGTTGATTAATATTAATTTTTTAATAAATAAAGGCTAAATTTAATAAATAATTTATTAACTATGTAGTTTATTTCAGTTTAGTTTAAAAACAATTTTTTTTTTCAAAATGATCTAAAAACTATCAATTTTGTTTGACATATGCCCCCTAAACTTTTGAAAAATATTAAATATAGTACATATTTTTTTATTTTTATGACATTTTATTTTTGAAGTTTAAATTCTATATTAAATATAATAATTAATTAAGATAATAATTTTAATTTACATTGATCATGATTTTAATTTTAATTTACGATAATCAATATTATAATTTAAATTTTATTATTTCTTAAAAA